GGCTATTAGAATTAACATCTGGATTGTAAATCTATAGTATAAATCTTCAATAGTAAACTCTGTAAGTTTCATTCCTTCTTTGCAACTGTTCCTCTTGCCATTTAAGCTGATATAGGGCTTTAAATAAGTTGCTTTAAGACAACTGGAAAAATAGCCTACAGAAAAGTGAATTAAAGTAGTAAGTGAATATTTGTAATTCAATGACATAAACATCATTTTTCAATGTAAAATTTCTATGTGTAAGATATAGCCTTTGATAAGAGAGAATTTGATTAGTGAGTTCTAAGTGGTAAAGGCAAAGGCAATAATTTTTATAACGAGGTCTTGGCTTGGATATTGCTTGGACCTAGTGAGCAAAGCCCATGGAAGAGACTGTGGACATCAAAAGCACACCAGCTCATGGCACCCAAATACCAAGGATGATGTATTTCTGCATTTCATAGAAATTGGAAAGAGGAAAGAAGTGACAGATCTCTGAATCAGAAATATATTGAATTCTAAACCTAAAGTAACTGAATTTTATCTTGAAAAACTTACACGTTGACTTGGCACATTGACATTCTCCTCTGTTAGATGAAATTTGGCCTGTACATTATATTGAGTTCATTATTACAGAAATAACATATTTTTGCACATCTGAGTTGTCAAAATGAATTTTGAATATTGTCACACAAGGGAAAAGTGGTTGAGCACAATTCAGCTGCCTGCTTCTGTATCTGCTCCTGCCTATATTAATAGGACATGGAAATGGTAAATACTATGCTAGTAAAACTATTGCCCTTGAAAAAGAGAAGTAATTACCATTGATCTAACACTAAATATAATCAAATACCAAATATTTGCCATAATGTTTAAGTTTTATGACTACAGACATATTTATCAATCAAACCAAAAATAAACACTAAACCATTAGTATTTAAATTCTTATAGATGTATAATGTGTAATTATGAAGTTGAAATTATCTAGTTCGTATATCTTTAATTTCTCAATTATTTATTTTTATATTCTATTTTAATATATCACACTAAAATAGGAACCCATTCTATTTTAATATATCATATTAAATAGGAACTTGGCTGACAAGTTGTAGCAGAGTAGACTAAACTTTGATGGACATTAGAGATAAAGTGATGTGCAAGTAGAGATGTGAAGTCTCTTCGGATGGGATGATAATTAAATTTCACAAGACTATCATAAATTCAATAGACAAAATGGGTGGAAGAAAATAACATGAAAAGCTAAAGTTAGTCTAAAAATCCTTTCTATATAATAGTAGCATTTGAGTTAAGTTATGAGGTCCGGTACTAGAGATAGGAGAGGCAGGGCATTTTAGGCAGCAGAAATTATGTGATAAATAATATCTTTCAGTAACAAAGAAAAATTACAACTAATCAATTGACCATATTTTACCAAACTATGCTCTCCTGTGCATGTGATCAAAGCTGATTGTTGTAGCTCTTAATGCAATTTGGGTATTTGCCTCTATGAAAAAAAATATTCAAAAGACAGGCTAAGTATCTCAAACATAGAGAATATTATAGTGCTTACAGTCATATATGTGCATGTGTGTATGAAATATATCTTAGGAAAAATATGCATCACTTAGAACAAAATAAAATTATATTTCATTATTCTGAACTATTGATTTGCATTTCTATATTTTCAGATGGTATGATTATCAAAGTCATTAATTCTTAGACAGAATTTAGGTATTTTTATTTTTATAATATATTTCTACTTTCCAGTAAATATATACATTTAAATATAGATATATTATAAATATAGACATGATCAATGCAATTATATTAAAGTCCTTAAACACAGGTTCATAAATTTTTATTTATATTTTAATAATATGTGAGTATAGTTGTATCTGGTTGAGTAGAAATTTATTTGCTAATTGAGTGAATCACTCTATTTTAGAAAGCAATATATAATTTACTATTTGTACTTATCATTGCTAAATTTAGATATCACTTAAATTGAAACTGGAATTCATAAGCAAATGTTCTTTCATAAAGCCAAAGGTAGACCATTCTAGGAATCAACTGATTTTTGTCTTTTGTAAGATAAAACTTAAGCCTATGATCATATGCCATCACCTGTGTATTTCATTATCACTAAATTCTGCCAGTCCCCTACATGTGTAAATTTGGACCCTATTTGTGATAGTTTATAATTCATAATACTTTAGGTAACTAAATTATAGAATGGCTTTAAAGAATCAAGTGTGTAAATGTTGGTTTATTGTCTGTCTCTAATTCTAGACTCTATAAATCTCCATAAGGATAAGGACCGTGTCAATCTTGATCACCTCAACAGCTAATTGAATAAAAGGTATAGAGTGAAAACCTCAACAGCTAATTGAATAAAAGGTATAGAGTGAAAACCTCAACAGCTAATTGAATAAAAGGTATAGAGTGAAAAATTACTGAGTTAATAAATGATGATATGTGCACATTTATTGTTGAATGCGATGTAATCCTCAAAAAAAAAAAAACAAACCCATTGATTTAGAGGAAGAAGGATCATAAAATGTCCTGGTTATAGAGTTTGGAAAAATATATGTCCTTAATAACTGGATTACAAAATGAATAGATATAGTAGATATAGGCAAAGCTAGATGTTTATAATATATTTAGTTACCACATTTTAACACATTTAATGTTCTTTCCTCTTTCTTCCACGTTACTAATACCATTTCACCCAAATTTTACTTTTTCTGATGGAGTAAAATTAGAGTAGAAATAAAACTAGAATAGAAAGGGATGTGCATTTTTTTTTCCTGGCTATGTCACTACTGGATGTGTGATCTTGAAAAATATGCAAAAGGTGTAAGATCCTTGTATCTTAAAATTTAAGATTCTCTCTGTAAAACATTACAGTGCCATGACTTCCTGGAAATGGAATAGCAGAGAAATGAATGAATTTAAACATCTTTCACACAACCGTAGAGCTTTAGAAGCCTTGAAAAAGAAAGATGTCCAGAGGAGGCTAAGACAAAATAAACACTACAAGTGTCTGAGAATAACAAAAAGCTTTATATGTCCATGTATGAAAGAGAAGGTCAATTTGGATGTCAAAAGAGCATGTAAAGAAAGACAAATACATGTAACTCCCTTGAGGGAAATGAACTTCTTTTGAATGTCCAGTCACATATCTTTCTTGGTATAAATCCAAACTGTATAATTATTTTTTCTTAGCATTTGACTGAAATTCTGAGATAAATTTTTAATTTCTCACTTTCCACTGCAACTAAAGATGGACCTGTGAGGCAGTTACGCTCAATGAGATATCAGCAGAAATCTTTACTGGTATTCTGGCAGCGGCACCACTCTTCATGGTTTTCCTGACTTCAGTGTGTACACAGAGACTAGAAGCCCAGCAGCAATTCTGAATTCATCAGACTGTAAACACTAAAGGACCAACTAAACCATAACCCACCTGGTACTGTGAAGCCACTCAACCAACATAGCATCTCTTTATCTGTAGAATTCTTGTCAGGTGATAAAAAAAAAAATAGACCCTATTTATTAAAGCCAACAACTAATTGAGTTTTCATTGACTTGTAGCTAAATCATCAGGCAAACATGTATCAGAAAATCTTAAACAATTTGCTACCTGCAGCATATTAGCTAAACATTTTGAAATAATGCTAAGTACCATATTTTGTAATGAAATTAGAGAGGTTGTCAAAAGAAAAATAAAAAACATGTTAATCTTTCAAATGTTAAGATAAAATATCAGAGAAAGATTCTATAACAAATAACTGTACAAAATGTGCTTCTCAGTGATATTGAGCTCAGTGTGCCATTTCTTATTTTAACACAGCCAGCAGTAGTAACAATAGCAACAACCACATCATGGTGGGGGGTAATGCTAGTTTGGTATCTATGGTCCCAAATAGAAATCTTAATAATCTGGAAAATTATAGGCAATATGAAACTTAGAAAGTACACTGTTTTTATTGCCAAAATTTAATGCTGATTATTTGTGTAATAAAATCTGTAGATAATGGTATTTTTTTTTTTTTTAGAAAGAATTAATCTGAGACTTTTTGTGCATGTAGCAATTGTTACCAAGGTAACCTTCTCTGAAGCCATCAAGATTTTTTCAGGAAAGATACCTGTATATTCTTTGTTCAGGTCACTTAACTTTCTCTTGCCTTTTTATCACTTATTCTCTGGAAATACTTCTAGTTCCTTATTATTTTTGTCAGTCTAATTTCCATTTGCCTAGTGTTTTCATTCCTGCCAGCAGAAAACTTAATATTAGACTTACTTAACTAGTTTCCCTCAGGGTAGGAACCCATATGATTTCAGCACTGTAAAATTCAGATATTAATAAATTGAGATTTGATATTTAAATACATCTTGTTAGACCCACATCATTCATACTGGAATGCCAAAACAATGCAGTTTGTTGTATTTTGTAAATGCAATTTCTCACCAGAAGTTTAGAAAACTAATGCCTCTACCTTCCATTAGTTCCTTGATAACTTTTGTCGTTGTGTGTGGATTGAATTGATGTTATGGAATAATATATTAAGAAAGCTAATTCCAAATCATATTTTCTGCTTAAAATCTAAATTCATAGGGGCTTTCTTATTGATTGCTAGTATATAAGTGTTTTAAAAAGCTAATCATTATATTTAGAAAACAATTATTTGTGTCACAGGTATAACAATGTTATTTCCCTTAGATTATTCATATAGCAATACTTATATTATAGCCATACAAATATATTTCAGATAAATTCACTTTAAAAATAATAAAAATATAAAATACTTTAAAATATAGTCTTATTATTTAGCAAATTATAGATAAAAACACATAATTTTAGTTATTATTTAGTTCTTTTACAAGAGACAGAGTATCATTTGACATCCCTGCCATGTTTGCATCCAGAAAATTATTTCAGATTTGGGGCATAAATATGAGGTTGTCATGTATTTACAGACAGCAATATATTGTTACAGACAGGGTAGTTTTAGGTTTACCTGTGTAACCAGGGGCACAGAGGCAGTTGTATCCATCATTCCTGTTAACACAATTTTCTCCATCTAGACAGGGTGAAGTTTTACATTCATTCATACCCAATTCACAGAAGGATCCATGGTACCCAGGTTTGCAATTACATAAAAATCTAGAGAAAAGTGGGAAAATGAGAAAAAAAATCTAAAAATAAAAATTATTTATTATATACACAAAATGTATGTATTGAATTCAAGACCTTGACTTAATTTAAATAAATGAAAATATATCCATTTTATTCTTTCCTTTAAAAAATACAGCAATTCCTTTTTAAAAATATTTTTCTTCTCAAATGTTTTTCATGTGGGAAATTTTAAAAAGGAATATGTTTGAGGACATAATTACTGTGAACTTGATAAATACTAATCCTGAAATACAGAAGTAATTTTGATAGGTGAAATTAACTTGATAGAAAAAGTACACTTAGCAAAAATAACTGTTTTTTTTCTTTTAGAAGTCTAAACAAAGAGGGTTTACCAACTTTCATTACAATGCTTTTGAGGCATATTTTAATTCAGATTTTCTAAGAGAACTCTTTCTAATTAACCTCATTCATCATTTTATGACCACAGAAATCTAACATCCCCATGATTTTCCTTTACTTATCCAACAAACATTAACTGACTAAGTGCCAGACATTTGTCATGTACCCGGATCCAAGTGTAAATAAAAGTTGAGCTTGCTTTGAAAGTCTCATAAACAAGTTAGGAATATAGACATGTAAATATTACA